ACGCCGGCATCGCCCGCCTTTGCTAGATAACTAAAGCCTCCAATGTTTCCCTTGCTTAAGTCCGAAGCGATCAGAGTGTTTGATTATCATTGGTTTTATTACACCTTACCAAACAGTAGTATCATCGTCGTTTTGATGAAGAAGAATTATTCCTTTCGGCCGCCCGCCAGACCGGTCGGGCCAGGGAAGCTAATAGTAACGGAGGAGCACGCCGCCTCCTTGTTCGTAATACTGACCTGTCACCTGTAGCCGTTCCTGCATGAATACCTACCTAGAGGAGCAAGGCCCATGGCATAGTACATGTAGGTATATATCTGTAGATCTAGTAGCAGGGATACTCGGTATTCCTTCTCTATTTATTAAATTTTTGATTTTGCTTTCTCCGGAACTTGCGATTTCTTAACGTTCCTATTATTAAATGTGCTGTGCACGGGCTCCCTCTCCTTCCATCCATGGAAAGGAGTACCGTAGTAGAGAAGTGAGGGAATAAAGAGAAAAGGAGATTATGATAGTGATAAAATAATAACAGTCGGCTTTTAACGATAGAGACCGGCGTTAGGAAGGGACGTGATTATAAAGACATTGATTCGGCTAGGAACTATAATGTCCCTATTAAGCATTCCTCTGTAATAGAAGTTCCCTTTGATTGATTTGATTCGATAACGTAACGAAGTCGGCTCCGTCAGCAGAGCTGACCTCTTTGTTATCAGCTGCTACGATCAGTTTCGTGGGGAACTTCATGATTGTGGGATTTGTAGATAGATAGAAGTTAAGTTAAGCATCGAAGAGAACTAGTGAACGGTACAGATCATCAGTAGGAAAGATATCACCGGCGTTTTGACCCAATGGACGTCATTTCAATGCAATATGAATCAGACATGTGGTTTTGATATACCGATTCGTTACGCTGCAGCTTGTTTTGACGTCAGCAGAGTTATCTGCCTCCATCTACATATGATTTATCTTTGGAGGCCCTTATCGTTATTTGCAAAATAGGGAGAACCGATGGCTACGTGGGATGAACGCCCCCGCGTCACAAGAGAGATTTGTGATGCGGTGTTACCATAAGGGGCTGGCGTGAGGCACAGCGGTAATTGAAGCATCCCGCCTGTCTACACCGACAGTTCTGTTGCGAACAAGCTGACAGTCTCATTCTAGGTGATCTCATCTCGGGGAGGTTGCACATGACCGAATAGAGCTCTATAGGGGGGTAGGACTAATCCTGACTTGATTAGCTTACAAGAGGTGGGATGGAGTTGGGAATGCTAGCTTCGCAAATTGACAGCGAAACGCCGCAGGCCTATGGAGTAGAGGACCATCAGGGGGTACCTAGTTGCCAGTAACGGTTTCCTTAGGGGGATTTTAACGAGATCGCAGGCTAGCATGGGGAAACGGGAGGGCCCTTGAGTTCGGACGGTAAGCAAGGTTGTGACCCCAGGTCTCTCGAGAAAGGGGTAAGCCCTATGCTTGAAGCGTACATTCGGTAGGGTTAGTGGCGTGCATCTGACACTATGCCGTAAAGAAAAGCAACCTGCTGAACGACGCGCCCTATAATAAAAGTGATATCTGATTAGGAGTACATTTCGCGAAGTGCAGTTGATGAATAGAGGCGTGTATGGAGGAAATGAGGTGTCAAATAATACGTCCAGCCCCCATTGACCAAACTTGATCCTTGGATTATTAGCGGCGGGTTAGGTAAGATACCGATTAAGGGGGTGTGTGATTGAGCATTAGCATCTGTTGGCTCGTGCTTAGAGCAACGATTTCTGGTAGCTAGGTAGGTACTATGTAAAGTAAACGGCGCTTGTGGAAAATCAACACCATCGTTGTCTCGACCAATACGATATGTAGACCGCTTACTTGGTGGATATATGGGATGGGTAGGAGTCTTATGAAAGCAAGCAAGGATGACAAGCATTAATTAATGAGGCTCTTGCTCAAGCAACTCATGTTATAGGTTCCCGTTTCGACCAGGTGGTTGCCGGATTGCAGGTGCATCTGTGCCCCGAGGAACCACCTCATCAATACGGCTCCGATTAAGCGAGAAGGCCGGAACTACCCATTCGCTACAGCTGCATTTTAAGCCTTGCCAGGCGAAACGACCAACTGTGGCGCCACACTTGACATTTGGACAAGATAGACGCCCCTCCAGCACGCCGTCTTCTAGCGCTGGCCGCATCCAGGAGAGCGTCTCGACGAAAACGTGAGCACAATTTAAAGGTTCTGGCCGCTCAGTAGGGACGTGAGGTACGATAAACTTCGGCGTCGCAAGAATGCGTCTACACTTTTTGCAACGGATCTCCTTGCCGACTTTCTTGTCTACGCCGGTTTCGATACCATCGTTTCCTGAATCTACTTCATCCTCGAACCGGATGCGTTCAGCCTCTGGAGCTTGATGTACATCCCTAGATTCCTTCAGCATTCTTTCGTACAGCCATTTCTGATATATGGGGTGCCGCTCCACAGCGCTGTCATCATCAGCTGGACATCCCATCTCCCACCAGAGCTCGAGCTGGCGCATAAACCCAGTATTGGGCCCGGCACGCTCACGAGACTGACGAACCCACTCCAAAGCTCTCTCTACGGCCTCCTTGGAGGTTTTCCGCCGCTCGGCTGCCGAAGCGACTGAAGGAGTAAACTGCCTGCCCCCAAAGCGGTGAGGGTATTGGTAGAGGAGATAGGCGATAACACAGCTTACGGAACGCGATACGCCCATTGCACAGTGTACGAATACCCCGCCCGGGGAATTTCCGTCATCTTTGGTTTCTACAGATGCATCTGCATCGGCGCCGTTGACTGGCGGATAGAGTCCATTACGGATAAAGCGTACAGCAGATGAGAGATGAACTAATAGATCCGAGTCTTCGTCATCGTCAATATCGATGCTCATGTGTTTAAATCGCCTTCCTTCTTCGCCCCATTTGTCGAATGAGAACTTGATAACGGAGAGCACATGAGTGACATTCTGTTCGTAAAGCTTGTCACGGTGCCCTTCGATATTCAGAGCCCAAACCCTGGGTGCTTATGTCAGCTCATATATAGGTAAATACCTGTGACTGCATATGTGGTGTGGGGAAGAGTAAGGAGTAAGGGTGTAAACTTACCCTCCGACGTGAAGGTTATCGGGTCCGGGTACCCTGGAAAATGACATGATGATTTATTTGAGTCTCAATTTTCTCCGCGGGTGCCTAGAATGATGTATGAGGAATCGGCTGTCAAAGGGGTTAGTTGACCCTGGCCTATATTAGAAAAAGGGTAAGATATATTTCCTTGAAATAAGAAGGTATCTATGTAAAAGTGCGGCAAACTCTTACACGGATTTCTGCAGAATGCCGTATTTGTGCCGCGGGCAGCTGCGCGGGCAAAAAACGGGTCCATAGGTACCTACATACGGATTACATAGGTACACCCATTGAAATTAAGCTATGACCCAGGTAGGTACAACGTATACCTATTCCTAGGTTAGGTACTTGTGGCGTCAGCGGCTGTGCAAATGTTTAAACCTTCCATGGTTTGACTTTTCTTTCTTTCCGGTAGGGCTGAATCATGTGATTATGCTGATTGCCCATTTTTGACGCTAGTCTGCTAGCTGCTAGGTTGTAAGCTATTAATAATGCAACTCGGGATTCCAAATTCCCATCCAATTGACATGGGACTTTGAAGACCTACATACCTAACCTAGGTAGATATTAGTCAAATACTACCTCCCGCCATGGTGAGCAGAAAGAAAATTTGTTGTTTCCACGATTACTACGCAGCTACTTCTCATTCGAAAATTAAAATCTCATTCGAAAATTAAAATCAGTTGATCATTAAATTTTCTTTACTTTGCATTATGTCTTTGAATTAGGTACTTTAGTCTTTTAAATCTCTATTCAGTTCAAGTGTACTTAACGTAGATGATTAGGTAAATAAATGGAATTAATATAAGCTTTATTCTTTATTATAACATCCGCGGTATCCTATGCCCGCAAGGGTTGTAGCGAATCCCGCGATGGAACGTCTTATACACAAAACACTAATTCCCTTCCCCCGCCCTCCTCCAAAACTCTTCATCAAAATACCCTACCCCAAAATAATATAGAAAAGCCGAAATGTCTTAACCAAGCGAGCTTGGCGTTCAAACATAATGAAGCATCCTTAAAAGACGAATGTCCGAGATGGGTAAAAAACTCGAGTCACTATAAGTAATACCCTAAAGGGTGTCAGCACTTATACGCATTCAGCTTACACGTTCGCACTCCAAAGACATGGATATCACTTCGCCCTCTCAAACGCCTAGATGTACTTGGGTATATGTTATATAATGCAAATAATATATGGGTCTACGTCTTGGTTGCCCAATGAGTCGTTAATTCATTTCTGTCCGAATTTTATCGCTACCTACGAATACTCTCAACTGTTGATAGGTTCAAATCAACACTGACGAGCCGCACCTCCACAGGCTCTATTGAGCCACAAATACCCGTTGGGATGGAACGGTGCCGTCAACTAGCATATATACGTCTCGTAAATTAACCATTGACAACGTGGAATCCCACCCTACTATATCCCAATGTGCCTTAGTGGCGCCTAGTCGCCTCGGCTGGAATATGGAATATTTGTTGCTGGAGCCAAGATTTTACTTTCCGGATTAGGCCTGTTGTATAAGGCATCGACTTGATAATCGTGCCGCAACCGACCACTTAATTTATCTCCGCGAGCGTGCATCCAACGGGCGGGAGATCGGCAAAGCAAACCAGCCTGCTCCTAGATGAGGTGAGACTCCGAAGCGCATCGCACACGATTGATTGATTGATTGATTACTCTTGCTTCGACTGATCCCTTTCATCCCACCGCCCAATTATAGGTTGGTTGCTGTGCGTCCATGGACACATTAACCCCCCAACCAACGAAACCCGAGTAATTCACATCCACAGCTTGTAGATTCTTTTTTTCTCCTCGAAAACCCCGCGCAGTATTGCTACCCAACCCCGTCGCTGATGGTTGGTTCAATTCGCTCATCTCGACGGTTGTGGTGGCTCTTCATCGAGCATGCATGCATTTTCTAACATATTAGTCCATTTACCACTGGTCCCCGCATGACTGTGCTTTAGATGCTGTCGAAAATGATCTGCACGGTAAAATTTCTTGCTCGAGTTGCATTCGCGGAATTTATGCACCTCTTGAAGATGTTTCAGTCGTTCATCCCAATCCTGCTCTGTTGGCTGTCGTGGACGCCCAACACCACCGTGGCGCTCAAATTCCTCTCCGCAGTAACCACATGTATCTGCTTCACCAGGTCGGTTGGTACTCTCGTGAAACGCGCGGTCGTAGCGCGAAAGAAGTAATGCAGAGCACGACCAGCTATGTCGCCTTACATGCAGGCTATTTTGATGGCGCTCTGCTTCATTCTTGTTCTTGAACCGATTACCGCAAAACGAACATTCGTATTGCTTCTCGGCCTCGTGAGCGCTAGAAAAGAAAAACCAAAAAAGTCAATTATCCGTAAAAGAAGTAGCGCATAACCCCTGAATAGGGTCGAATAATCACTTACCTTAGTTCTTCTGCCGTCTCAAATTTTTTGGGCTTTTTAGGACAGCATTCGCACATGAAGAAACCACCAGGTATCTTCGAGATACCGGTTTTAGATACTTCACTCACTTTACGGGGTGAGGCGAGACGTCTGGTTTCACTACTAAGGTTACGCTGGTGGGGGACACGCGCAAGCGAAGCGCGTGGCGAGTGACCGAGAGAACTATAAGGCGAGTTTGAGATGACGTCAACGGGAGAAAGTCCTCCACTAGATAAGCCGCCAGGCGATCTCCCAGTGTAAGAATTGATACTTGACAGGTTGGTGGTAAGTGAGGCATTTGAAGCAAAAGATCCACTTCGCGTGGTGGATGGGACGGAAGGAATAGAACCGGGAGGGATGCCGGCGAGACGTGGTGTTGGTGATGCTCTGGATGCGCCCTCACGACGTCGTAATGGGTCGCATAATCCGGATATGCCTTGCATCGGGACGTCATCCCCAGGCGGTGAAGACGCCCGTCTCTTCTGCCCAATGGCCTGGTGCTCTGACCGCAACATGTAGTCCTCAGTTTGCGACCTATCCTCCATCGTAAAGTCATTGTCATCTGCATTGTCGTAGCTGCTGTGCGTGGATATCGTTGCATCATCGGGTAATGAACCGCTGTTATTCCTTCTCGTTCGCGCAAAAGGCGATCGATCTAGATCCATAGGTTCTATAGGCGAACGATATTCACTACTCGAAGCCCCGTAGAACGAAGGCCCACGCGGGGAGAGTGCAGACTGTGGGGGAGTGTCCGTATAACGGCCGGGTGAATCGATAACCAGCTTATTGCTCGGCCGAATAGGAAGAGAAATAGGTGTTGGTTGGGTGTGCAGACGTTGCTCGTGTGCAGTCAAGTTCGACACGGAAGCACTGAGAGCAGACCGCCGAGGCGGGGTCCTGTTGTCAAATGTTCGTCTGGAGTCCAGCTTCTTGATTAACGAGCTGTCATAGTCGTTGCTGTTCGGCCTGTTAAACTGGTACTGGTCATGAGACATGAAGAGTTTCTTGGGGAGAGAGTCCTGGGATCTGAAGGAAAACCTGACAGTTAGCACTTCGTTCCGACTGGCATATCGCCGTAGATTTAACAGACTATCCCTACCCTAACGACGAGATGGTGGAGTTGAGACTATGATAGCCTTCGTCTCTATGAGGCCGGCCTATTCCGCGATCGGTATCAGCCCTACCATACGGAGGCCGATCCTGCTCCAATTCTTGTCTAGTACTATCCCAGCTTGCATTGGAATCAATCGATGGGATACGGTCGTGTCGAGTAGGAGCCGGCTGTCCAAGCCCAGGTAGGTATTTCGGAGGAGGTAGTGGCGGCGGTGCATCGTCCTCAGCGAGGCGGCGGCTGTTAGATATCGGCATAGGGGTAGAAGAGGCTAGAGAGGATTGGAATCTCGATTGCATATGAGACCGGCCCGAGCCTCCATAGTGATCGAAGTGGCTCGATCCCTCGATGTATATGGCCGGCGGCGAGCCTCCCGGTTCCCTTGGTGCGCATCTTGGGATGTCCATCTTGTGTTCCCCCTTCCGAAGACTCGAACAAACGAAGCTGACTTTGTTCGACGTAGGCCAATGACAGAGTTGCCACAGCTTAGTAGTAACAGAGGGCAGCTGAAGGTATGTGGAATCTGAATATTATTTTGCCGAATTGAACGAATAGCGGTCCGAGAATGGGTTAGAACATCTATCTGATGGGCTTGTGGAGTTGGCAAAGACGGTGTATGGGAACCGACAATGGCGCAGTCTTGAATCAAGAGGCGGGATGTCGTAAGGATGGTGGTGGCAATATTCGTCTCGGCAGTGCCGATGTCGTCTATGTGAAAGGTTGCGAAATATGTGTTGTCGGAGGTTCGTACTTCAGAAGCAGATGATCGTGCGAGGGTATTCTAAGATAACAGGAAAACGTAAAGCGTCATGATAGTAGTAAACATGCAGATATAATAACACGATGGTAATACACCGAGATGAGCCCAATGGAAAAGAAAACTGAAGCTAATACAAAGGTTAAGCCTCTGGAGAAAACAGTCCGAGGTTCAAATCGGGAGACGACGAGATTCTTGTGTTCTTGTCATGTGAAGCTCAGCTCAGCTTAGCTACAACCCGGGATGGATGACAAGAGAGGATATAGCTGGATAATAGCAAAGCTGGGCTAGTAAATCGTTCTGTCGAAGGAGCTTTGGCTTTGACCAATATTGACCAATGGATCCAAAGTTCAAATTTGGCCCCTTGCTCTTTTTGGTACTCCCTACGATGACTATACGCAGAGTTCGGGCGACTATAATCGCATAGGGGTGGGCGAGAAGAAGACGTGTTTCTAGGAGCGAATAGGGACCGAATAGAGAGACGACGAGGTGAGTGATGTAGAAAAGGTTCGGCCTAACACTCGCGAGAATCCATCCACAACCTTTCTTTTTTTTCTTCTTTCTTTCTATCTCTCTCTCTCTACTTCGTACATGTATGAAAGGGTTACCAGAAAGTGAAGAGGGGCGACTTAGGTGCATATTAAAACTAGATTCGAGAAGGACTAACCCGCAACATATGAAAAGCCCTACCAGTCTACTTACCTAGTCCGTGGGGTGGGTCCCAGTATTTCAGCCCTTCAAGAACAGGGATACCCTCTAGCGCCTTACAGGGTGGTTCATAAAAGTGGGTCTCCTAGGTATCGTGCTAGGGCTGGTCATAGAGGTACCTTGGCCGTTGTACTACTAGTGGGTCTCCTACTTGACCAGGGAACGTCAGGGGGGTGTATTGAAAAAGAGAAAGGGAAATGGGTTACGTACCAGGGGTGGGGAATAAGTCTCAGGGCGTGCATCAAAAAACTTTTCCTTCCCTCGTCGTCTTTCTCGTCGTACCCAGTGTACGAGTACAAAGTACATTGTAGGTGGTAGGATTGATGCGACTCCTAGTCGGCACAGGGCTGCACTACCTATGTACAGGCTACAGCCTGCCTCTCTTTTTATTTTTTATTTATTTTTTATTTATTTACATACATGTAGTATTCTTCCCGCTGGGAAGGGCTGGATGTAGAGAGTTGGGGTACACGTTACTAAGAAGAAGTAGGATACATTGTATGCGTACCTACATGTATGTAACTCGGGCATGGCGGCGTGAGTACGTAGGTGCATGTATGTATGTAGGTAGGTATTGTATGTTGTATGTATGTTGGTTTGGGTATATTTTATCACATTGTACCTTGTCAGATTCGTTTACCTTATCATATAATATTTTCCTATGTTGATGTAGTTAGTTCAATGTCATATGTTGTACTTACCAGGGAAGAATTAAATATACCTGGCCAACAACCCTTCTTCAGCAAAAATATTACCAGAGGCGAAAGAGGTGGGAGGTGGGTGTACCCGCTGCATGGCACCCGCCTTGTAGTACTACGTAGCCGATATCCATTTTAAGAAGGAAAATGACGCTGCCCGCACACCTTTGACGATGCGTCCAAGAATGAAATTCTCCCGGTAATCTTGTTCTGCTGCCACACCATTGCGTATCTAATAGGTGTGCATATACATAGTATAGGAGGTAAGCAGGCTATATTATGGATATAGGTATGTTAGATTAGGTATGTATGGAATAGATACTAAAATGTTAAATGTACTCCATCGACTTACACGGCTGTTTCGTTGCGGAGAACATACATAGCAATGCGATGACCATCGAACGATTGTTTTACGTACCATAGCATATTAGCATATACTCAGTACCTCGACCCTCACTCCCTTAATTACGTCTATGCTTCTCTTGTCTCGCGCTCGGGTTCTTCCGACCTCCGTAATCCGCAATCCGTAATCCGTAATTCGTAGACTATATCAAATCGGATATAGACTTGTCAGGACTCAGGAGGCGCTCTTCGGTCCGATCATGGTAATTTCGCACGGATTCAGCATAGTCCCACGTTGAACTGCTCCCGGCAAATAGTAACGACCGGTCATAATTCCCAAATTGAGCCTCATCATCCAGAGTATTGATAGTTAAGATGGGGACTTTCAGCCTTATAAAGCCTTATATAGGTAGACGTATAACTACGACAGACAAGACAGACCGAATCCCAATGTGGCTAATATCAATATTGCGATCGCTACCAATGAGAGCTGTTATGCCAGCCAATTAGTCCCAATAACAGCAAGCGCATTTGCTCATACTTTCTTGGTACAGTACAGGAATGGATACTGTAAGATTATAAGTTATAAGATGGTTACATAGTCGACAGACAATACGATCACGACAAGACCCATTACCTTGTCTTGTGCTTGACACTAGTAAAATTACCGAACGCTACAATGGAGAATTCCTCGGTAACTCTCATGAAATCCACTTTTAAACGCCTGAATATGTACATACATAGACGATAATATTGTTTGCGTACATACAGCAACTCTTACCCTCCTAGATAGAAAACCCCGAGATCGAACGTGAAATCCTATTACCAGGCATGACTTATACATATGCGCGCACGACTTATACGAACATGACTTGTACCAGCCAAGTATTCTAGACCGCCAGACTTTAATATGGTCCAGTTCCAACAGCGTTGACGAGAGGCGCTTTTTTCTTCTCCAACACCGGGTACATCGACTTGACGCAATACGAGTTGGCAAATCAAAGTACACCAGGTAAATGTGTAACACGCAGAACGCTTGCAGAGTCGATAACAGCATGTGCAGGAGGCGCGCATGAGTTTTCTTACTCGACGCAGTAGAGATAAAAGGAAATTAGAAAGCCGTTTGTTATCAGCTTCTGTCGTCATCTAAAAGGTAAGTATATACGTACGGGATTGTAGCTTTTGATATAATATAATATTTTGACTGACATGAGATGAGGATTACTCTCCAGTAAAACTTACCGCATGTAGATTTCCAGCTTGCAAAGTTCCCTTCTCAGCCCTACGAGCCCTTTTGGATCATTAGAACTGAGACAAGCTAAAGAGCTCTTGGGTGTGTCATGATTGGCTTCGCAGACTCTTGCTTCGACGGAAATGGTTAAGTTTAGAAGCCCCCCGGCCAACCCTCATTGCCCCTCACTACTACGCAGGTCGAGCATCATCACGCAGAACATACATAGTAGTTGATCTATCAAATGCTTATTCCCTATGCCAGTCAACGTCGACGTTCAGACTTGGACGATATCGTGAGAGTACATCAGACACCAAAGGATCTGATAAGGTGACACGACTCACTTATTCACCGCTCATATGCCTACATACCGGCCCAGCCCATCATATGCTCTATAGTGACACTTCCTACTGACACTTCCTGCACGTATGCTACACTGCATACACTACACATGTGCGTATTAAAGTGTAGAAAGATAAGAATAGGTCATTCCCAACTCTCATAGATAACATTTTGCTATCTCATAATCCAATTGATCCAATCCACCGGTACGCGCCCCGAGAGGACTCGACGTCCTAAGCTCATTTATTAAGCGCCTCTAATTCGATATCGATGTTGCCAAGGTCATATCTCAACGAGGTGACTTTTGACTGGCTCGTTTATTCTAGACGACGCAATAGTTTCGCGTGGCCCTATGTTCCCTCCATTTAACTTGCAAGTATTTATCTTCAGCGCTACGCTTTCAGCATATCATACAATTTATCACCTCCAAGTCTTGCGCCGCCGCCGCCGCCATCGCACCACGTTAATCTAAAAGCCAATTTTATTTAGCCGTTTCGCCAAACGAATGCTCGTATCTTCCCCCTAGACCTTTACTTTTAAAGCCGGCGTTTAGTTCTCTAACGAGTAACATGAGAATGGATCGAACGTACGTATGTAAATAACTAACAATAGGGAAATATTTACCCAAGTAGGCAATTTTTCGAATCCGAGGCCCGAGCTTGATCACGCGTTCACGATTCTCTTTAAACGGCTATTAAGAGCCGCCTACATAGGATTATGTAGTTTCCGGACGTACCGGGTATTGAGACTTAAGCCACCTCGTGTCTCGGCTTTATGAACCCTCTCGATCGCTTAAACCTTGCACTATTGCGCGCAGGATAGCGCCGCATCATGGCTAGATCCGGTTCTTAGGTAGATATTCGGCCATCTAATGACGCCCGTGCGACGATGACATTTTTAGTGTAGAGTTAGGAATCCTTCGCGAGGGTACCTAAGTACGTACGTACGTACGTATATTACTTAGTACATTAGGTATTGGCACATCCCAACTTCGACTTCATCGTATAGTATAGTTAGAATATCATACAAGTATAAAACTCGCTTTCAACTAAAGACAGTTTACAAATGGGTAAGACTTTGAAAGCTAGACTCGAGTAGGTGTCCACTTAATGCGCTCTATGTACATACAAACACAATCGCACTAATAAAAGGTTAGACTACCTGTTTCCAGGGATCATTAACACCTCACGGCCGGGTCTTGATAATATAATATGATGATATGAGAATGTGCCACGAAATCGCCTAGGGAATGGATCTCGGATAATCTGCTGCACAACGTGGCGCCTCGCCTGGCTACTCTGATAAAGCGTCTGTACCCTACAAGGCTTG